GGGTGATGAGTTGGCAGGCAGCTGAGTTAACCTCTCACCTCCCTCTTTGTTCTGCCCACTCCATCCCATTGACATCTCTCTCCTGAACTCTTCCCTAGCACAGACTCCAGTGCTGCTCTGACCTCTTGAGGAGCTGATTCTGCTCCTTGCCTTTGCAAGGTTAGTTAGATATGATGGGAATGCCAGCAACCTGGTCCCCTTGAAATGCTTCTGGGAATACCCAGTAGCAAGAACACCACGGATGGAGTCCTGGCTCCTCCAGATTTGATAGACTAGATCTGGTCACTTTAAGGTGATGGCCATATCCCACATGTAGGCACACTGGTGTATCTAGCTTAAAGTCTTTATTGTCTCCTGATGTTTCCAGTGCACTTCTCTGAAAAAAACTGACCTAAATCAAGACCAGCTCTGCAGCCCAGTCAGGGATTCAGCAAGGTGACTCACAGGTTGCATGTCATTTCACAGGGATAATGTTTCACTCTGGTGAGAAACAGAGGGGGCACGGAGCTGTGTGTTAGAGAGATTACTCACTAGGTGACCTTCAGCTTGCATCTCTTTGGAAAAATATTTAAATGGAAAGATACTTTAACAGTGGAATAGATGATCTTAGGTTACAGCTAACATCTTCATGGGTGTTATGAAGAAACCAGAGGAACGAGGAGCACATGGCACATTCTGGGCTGGACCTATCAACTGACAGGAGTTCCTCATGAGCCCAGTTCAGGACAAAATACAACTCAGGCTACATGGAGCCTCTGTGTCCACATCACAAGTGCTGCTGTCACCAGAACCTTGTCTTATAGTACAGTACAGACAGTACAGCACCATACAGGTTTATTCCTTTCTTGCCCATGCTGTGCAAAAAAATATAATCAGCTATCATTCTTATCTTATGCAGGTAAGGAGAAGGTAAGGATGTCTGGGGATTGACTTGAAACTGTTGAATAAAAGCTGCTTCAGAAATACCAAAATGTTGGTATAGACTCAAGTTATGAGAGTCTGATATGAATTATAGGGTACACACACACACAGAGAGGAGTGAGCTTTTAGTTTCATTTAAAAGAATCAAAGCCTTCAAATAATGCAGGCTGCCTGCATGAGAAGGTTTGCTGCTTCTTGCTGAGGGATTCTTTGGGTTACTGTACATGCCCCCTCTGACAGACCCCAGGGCAATCTTTGTTTAAAGTCTCGTAATAGATTTGAAAATGCATCATGCTCACTTAGCAGAAGAAAAAAATAGTTTTAAAGGGGCAGATTCCCTTCTTCATCTGACACTCACCCTGTGCACAAGACAGGCTGTTATTAAAAAAAAAAAAAAAGAAAAAGAAAAAAAGTGTATTGAGTGAATTCCTTGCCAATAGAATATTGATTTATAGCAAAGTATTGCTCTGATATTTTTTCCTTGCCAAAGCAGGCAAGGACCGTCCTATTGATCCATCCCATGCTACAGGTTGGGAGATGAAGACAGGGACCATTTCAACATTTTTTACTGTAGTGGCCATTTCCTGATGTAATCCAGGATTGTTCCCTGCTGGTCAAACAAGACCTCACAAAAAAAGGCCAGCCCTCAGCTGAGCATCTGATTCAAAAGAGAATTCAGCTGAAAGCTGAGGGCTGGAAAGATGTGTCAATACAAAAGCAGGCAGCAGCTCTGCATTTAAGCAGAAGTCCACAGCATTTAACCTACTTCAGCAGATCAATGCAGCGGATTTTTAATCATCACATTAATCCTAAAATAAAAATAATTACCCCAGAGATCTGTATTAAAGTCCCTTAATTGTATCTCATTTCATCATCTGTTTTACTCAGTCAGGATCAGGAGCTACAGAGAACAGAGCTTCCCAATGTGATTCTCCAGCTTGCAGTTTAACTCTCTCAGTAGGAAGTAGGACTTCAGCTCCTACTATGGGGATGAGACATGGCCTTGCTGAGAGCACCCACATCCATCCCACTTGGGGGAAAAATGAAAAAGGGGGGAAAAAAAGGGTGGGCAGGATGCTGCTTCCAATGGCATGGTACAAAACAGTGGGGGAAGGAGAAGAAAATATATGGTGGGTAAAAAAATGTGTGAATACCTAGAAATTCAATCTCTGTGTTCTCCCCTTCTTCCTGCAATGCCAGGAGCTCATTAATATCTCATTAAGGGGAAAGAGAGGACTTGACCAGAGGACCCATTATCACATTTCACTGAGCAGAGCTTATTTCCTGAAGCATCCTACCCTGCCTGCAGTCCTGCCATCCCACAGCCAGGCTTTGGGAGCACAGCCAAGGGCAAACACAGGACCACAAGCCTCCGTGGAGAGTACCAGGTGGGTTTTTATGGCAATAAAACCAGCCCATTCCCTGCTTCTATGGGCAGGTGGCATGGCAGAGCTTACAGCCATGCAGCTAACTTCTCCATTGTTCTCCCAGGGAAAAGTGCCTTTGTCCACACTGCTTACTGGGACCATTTCCTAGCCAGTGCTGTCCCCTTCATTGTGCTTAACTGCTTGTTTTAGGTCAGATCTCCCCTGCCTTGCTGGCCTTTACCCATTCCCACCATCTTCTTGCAGAGAAACAAACTAGCCCTGTGTTATATTTAGGCTTAAAAGCATCATACATTTACTTGAATAGTACTTCAGGGCAATTTCCAGGTTTTTCTAAATACGCCAGGGAATTTATTCCCACTGCCTTGGGAAGAGGCCCAGAGGTTGTTACTGCTGCAGATGTTGGGATGCAAGCACAGGCTGTTGTAAAACAAGCAGCAAGCTGAACCCTAGTGAGTAAATGGCTTTGGGTTTAGGCAGCATCCCCAAGCTCCAGCTTGGCAAGTGGCTATAAATATCCCACTTCTCCTCTGCAAGGATGCTCTCCAAAACCACTGGGTTCATGGTCCCTGGAGGTGGCAGTGAGGATGAGTCCAAGGAACCTTACAGCTGGCATCAGCTTCTCAGAGGGAACTTAACAATGGAGGTTTGTGGAAGAAAAGAGTAGTTAAAGGTTACAGCTACCCCTGCACAGAGCAGGCTGGCAGTCAAACTGCTGGGAATGTAAAATGATGGTAACAACATAGGCTGCTGTGTAAATCACCTTTCTGTTGTTAACAACTGACAGCTTGAGGCTGCCACATCCTTTTTATTTCCATGAAGGATGGGAAGCACCACTTCACAGCAGAAAGGAGAAAAAATAAAACAACAAAAAACACACACACACACAAATAAAAGAAAAACAAAACAAAAAACAAAAATTACAAGCTGGAATAAAAATAAATAAACAAAGTGACAAAAGTCCCTTTAATGGCAGAGTGCTCAGGACCAGACTTTCCCCTAGCAAGCCTGCAAATGGGGCAACACCTTTTTTTCATTCCCTGGAGCCCAATGATGACAGGAGAAGTTCCAAAGGCATGAGGCAGGACAGAAACAGGCCACAGAGACCACTCACTGGAATAGTTTCAGTTGCATCTTCTCCTTATCTTCTCTTTACTTTTTCTATTTTTCATTTCAGTTTATACTTGGGATTTATTTTTCATTGCCCTAATCCTGTTGCAGCCAACTTAACTTAGAAAAGCAAGGTATGGCTGTAAGGCCTCCAGAACAAATGGGGAAAACCCAGAAAATAAGGCAAGATGAGACCTCAGTGGGTCATAAAGTCATCCTCTCAACATCAAGGCAACTTGGTACTACTCTTCTGGCCTACCTAACAGTTTCCTGAAGCCCCTCAGAGATAGGGATTTACACCTCCTTGGGTAGCACTTTTCTTTAAACATTTCCCTTCATGGTTAAGCCCAAATCTTTCCTGCTGCAACTTAGGTCCATGACTCTTTGTCACATCATGAGCCTTCACAGAGATGTGTTTATTAACTTTATCGTGGCAGAAATAGTCTGGATATTTGAAGACAGTTATTGTGTCTCCCCTCGATCCTCCCTAAGCCAAACAAACACAGGTTTTCTACACCCTTGCTCATTCTTGCTGCTTTTCTTTGGCTCCTTCCAACTGAGTCACATCTTTCTGGAAGTGAGGTGCTCAAAAGCAGAGAGAGTCTCCCAGCCAAGGCCTCATTGCTAAGCAAGGCACACAAATCACTGGGATAAACCACAACAGTTCTGTCTGTACATATTAATATCATGCTTACTGTTTCCCCCCACCCCAAAGCAATAAATATTTGCTGATTTGTCAGCATTTTACTTGCCCTTGGCACAAAGCAAACAACTACATGAGTAGCAAACTGGGCAAGAACCAAATCATTGATCTCTCCTGGAAAAATGCGGCTAAAATCCAGTAAAAAATTCCACACCAGCTTGCCTACACTTCTGAAACCCACTTACTTCAAAGCATGTAAGAGAAACATTCCCCCTTATGAAATCATACAAGCTGCAACACCTCAAACTAGATTCAAGTAAAATAAATTCTGCATGAGTCAGGGCTAAACACTTGGACATCCCCACTGGTGTTTGCTGTAAAAAGAGCAGTACTGCTCTCAGATCAAAGACTGATGTGCTCTACAACAAAAGAGTCTCAGCAGTAATTCACAAGAATACAGCAGTGAAAAAAATGCAGTGTTCTCTCTGTTATTTGGAACACTAATGTTGCCACTTGGATTTTAGGAATTGCATTTACATGTCAGTTTCTAAAGACATGAAAGTTTAGGCAATGAGTGTGCTACCTTAATTCAACCCCTAAAGACATTTCAGCTTGAACTTACACAGAGTGAAAATCCTACACGGGAGGACATGAGTGGCAACTACTCAGGTGTCACAAATCAGTCTAGCTTAAGTTAAGTAAGACCTAGATTTTTCACTACAGCTGAGGACTCACCAAAGAAACACAGGAACCATTTCATTCTGCCGAACATTCTCCTTTTTAAATAATTCAGCAGGCATTACAGATGCTGGATGCACCTTCCCAGACTGACAAGATATAAATGTAGAAGGGGTTTGGGCAGGTGTCATGGTATGGCTGGATCTCTCTCTCCATTCAGTCCGATCAGACAACTTCCCCTGTTCCCTCCGACCCCCCCTTACCTTTTGAGATAGTTTCTCCCATAGAGGATCTGCTGCAGCAAGGTGACCACAGCAAAGGCGCAGATGAATATGAAGAACAAAGTTCTGTTTCCCAGCAAATCCCTGCTCGACGAAGGGTCAGTGTATCCCATCCTGAACTAGGCGCTGCTGCAGCTCTCGTGGGTAGAATTCAGTTCATTGTTGCCTTTTTGCTGGGAAGCGGAGGGGAACGTTTGCTGGCTTTTCTGGGAGCAATCCAAGGAGATGGCATCCCATCGTTTGGCCCTGCTGCCCCTTCCTTGCCCCTTTTTTGGGTGCTAGCTCCAGGATGGTGCGCAACGTCTCGCTTCCACGGTAAAGTTTGCAGGAGATTCAGCCGCGGGTAACATCTAAAATCATCTCTCAGAGCTCTCTCAGCGCCGGCAGCCTGTGCTGTGCAGGAGGCATTCTGCTGCCTCTCAGCCTCTCTTGAAAACCCGCTGCTAGCAATTATCTACTTCAATCCCATTTTCGTATTCCAGATGGGGGAAGCTGCAAATACACCAGAAAACTGCAGCCAATGGCAAACACAGGACTCCGGCGACGCGCGTTGGAAACACATACTCGTCAGCTCCTCTTTGCTTCTGCTCAGTGATTCCAACAAATTGTGCTTGCAAGGAGACGTGACTGGGGTGTGCTATGACTGGACGAGCATGTTAAGGATCATGAGGGTTCCTTTCAGTCCCCTGCAAAATAAAAGGAAAACAACACAAAAAGCCACCACCGAAATAAAACAGCGGCAGCAATCCGGTTAGGAGAGCTGCATCCTGTGCAGCAGCCTGCCGGCCGTTCCCCGTGCTCCACACTGTAGGATTTGAATGCAGAATGCAGTGCCTGTAGTCAGG